TGAAGGTTATATTATGGAGAAGAGCATACAAAAAGTTGCACTGAGTTTGACCGAGTTTTCACCTCTGAAGGCAAGTTTCCGTGATCGTTACCAACATGTTGACACTATCATATTGAGGCTTAATTACCCGCTCAAATGATCCGGCACCTTAAATAAGAAACGTAGAGCAGGCCGTGTAGAGCAAACTTTGTTTTAGGCCTATGGACTAAATCGGCCCGTAGCAGGCCCAATTTGGACGTCCACCTCGCCCACTCCGGCGCCTGCCATCTGTTCGTCGAAATGCCGCGTGGCCAGCGCATGGCAGCCATGCCGAGCTCGCGCCCCGCCATTGCCGCGCGCCACTGCCGCGTGTCCTGCTGCCCTGTCGCGCCCCTGCTACTCCAAAGCGTACGCCCGAGCCTCCTCCTCCTTCTCACTCGCGCTCGCCACCTCTCGCTCTTCTGCTCACTCTCGTCGTCACCGTGCGTGCAGAACGATATGCCGCTGCCATGGCTGCACGAAGCTCCTGCGGCACCACTGTTTCTGCCGCTCCAGTCCTCCTCCACCTGCTTGGACCTCGTCCTGCCTACCCCCACCACCAAGCGCACGTGTTGTGCCTCTCCTTCGAGCACCGCACGCTGCCGTACATGGCGGTCACCGTCTCGGTACGCACTGACGCCGTGGCCAAGCTGGCCTGAGTCGCTGTGGTCGAGATGTGTCCCTTGGCCAGCTGTGTGGGCTCCCCCTAGAGTGTGCGCACGCCCCCCAGCACCGCCACTTGAATTAGATGAAGTTGGAGGGCTGAACTGCGAACCCGTGACTCCTGTAAATAGTGCTGAGAAGGACCGGTTCGCTAGCATTTAATTTATGTTTTCTGTAGGGACCCCGATGCAAGATATAAATTCCTTTCTTTTGATTTTTACAGATTTCTGTGCTGAACTTTGAAAATTCGTAGTAATTTGTAGAAAAATCGTAAAATAGTAAATGTGGACTTTTTGGAATCCTTGTGAAATTCTCTATGTACTAGATCTATAATATTACATGTTTAAGTTTAAATAGGTTGCTGTAAAAATAGATTTAGGCAGTTAGGTTCTTAATGCTAGTCATGTCTTGTCGTTTTGATAACTGCAGTTATTTTACTCAAATAAATGTGAAAATTTTATGGAGTATTACTGATGTGAGTAGTGATGTCTGGTAAAAATTTCAGTATTTTAGGCTTGATAGTTTAAGATCTATAAAAATAACAAATTACCTATATTGCCTTACCCCTATTCTGAATAGGTCTGCAAGATTAAATTAATTGGATTAGTTAAGTTATGAATCATGACTTTATTATAATACATGAGTTGTAGTACTTTTATTAATATTTTCAAAAAGCTAAATATCATGATTTTTGGTTAAGTAGATCTTGAGTTATACTTGCTTAAATATCAGTGGTTGTTTCTTCCCAAACTCTAATAGGGTTACCTTGTTGGTATTGTGGAGCCTTCTTAATAGTAGAATTAGCTTTATGTGTTTACAACAAAGTGGTTTAGAATTTGATAATATTTCTAAAAAGTCTATAAACACATTTATTGGACATGTATAACTCCATTTATAGCTGTTTAAAGTGGCATGTCAGTTTCTGTCTATGTTTTGGACAGAGATGCAATTATTGAATTAATTGACCCTTCTAACTGTAGAATCATCTTAATATGAGAATAGGAAAGTTGTAGGTAACTTCCTAAGATTTTCAAAAAGTTATGGTTCATGTTTGTTGGAGGTCTAGAACTCCAGTTATGCCTCTCTGAAGTTCCTATCAGTTTTCTGTACCACTGCTGGTGGGTTGCATTTGCAGTTTTGCTTGTGCAATTATTTTCGTGGTGTAGATGATGTTTGCTATGGTTGTAGTGAATACAAAAGTTGTATCAAATTTCATGATCTTGCTTGTGTTCAAATTGTAAGGTCATAGGCCAGATAGTGTAGGAGTTACATGACTTTTAAGTCTTCTGTCAGGTTTTGATTGTAGTCTAAGTAGATCTGAAAGATGCTAGTGTTTGATCTAGTTAGGGTTTGAATGAGCTTTTGGTGATAATAACAAAGTTGGAGATAATTCATGTATCTAGCTGCTGTTAAAATTTGGTGGCATTTGGTTTTGTGGTTTGTGAGTTATGCCTATTTAAATTTGGGTTACAGAATTGATTGCTCTCTATCAATTGTGGACCAGTTTCTGTAAATGGGTATATTTGACTTAGTTAACTTGAGAATCATGCTAAGATGATTAAAAATGAATTGTAGAAAATTTCATAATATTTCCAAAATGTCTTCTTGTAAGTCATTTGGATTTGTGTAACTCTAGTTATAGCTAAATCTTGTAGCTGTTGTTTACGTTCAGAAATTGGCAGATTCCAATTATAGTGTTTGCTTGTATATTGTTAAGTGTGACTTATGCCTTGAATGATGACTGAGTTAGAGCACCTGAGATCTTGGGAAACTTGTGTCATGCTTGGTGTTGTCGTCTTCTTTGCCATCTTAGCATGATAGATTGTGTGATGTTTAAGTTAAGCATCGCAAAGTACTTAAGTGTGTTAGTGTAAACTATGCTTGTCTTGCTTGCTATTTTGTGATGCGTCTCATGCTACTATTCTTCATATTTATGCACTTGTATATTGCATCTCATCTAGGTACGCTAGATGCACCACGTGAAGGATGTGATGTTGGAGCCAAACCCGAAGATTTGGTTTGGTGAATATATCCCGAAGATGGAAGGACTAAGCAAGTGCTAGGACCAGAGATGTCACCATGACGGTGCAAGCTAACTAAACTGACTTGTGTCGGATCCCAGGCAAGCCCCGGAGCATATTAAGCCTCCTAATTTCCAAAACGCAGTTAAAGTATTATTGTTACATATATATATTGTTGCATTAAGTTTAGGTGTTGGATGCAAACACTTGCTGCATTGGTTATCCAATCCTTGTCCAGATATTGATACCCTGAATCCTATGTAGCTCAGGCTCGTGTAGTGCTTAGCCCTGCTTAAACATGGTAGAAGTTAGGTGATTTCCTGTCACCTGCGAGATATAGGAAGATACATATGGCAGGGTTGGCTATATTTGCTATCGTGGAAAAGAACCAGTCTTAATTTGAAATGAAGACCAGACGAAGGCTTGCCGGTTTGTAGTGACTCCGTCTGTGTCGATTAAGGACTGAATCTTGGAGCCTTTCCTGTTCATGTTGAATGCATGCCTCTCTCTTAGTTGGCCGTGTCCGAAGACCGACCGCGAAGCCGAGTAGCTCAACTCAGGCCGGGAGTCGATAAGTATAAAGTGCGCCTCGGAAGGGAGCCGTAGGCGTGAGTCCAAGGGCAGGTGATTTAAAAGTCCTGATCGTCCTGGTAGAAGGGTAATCCCTGAGAGTGCTGGCGCTGATCGAACCCGCGAATTTGGTTCCTAAGTTGTCCCAAAGGTGACCCACGGCTACCCTTGCAAAGTATGCCAGGGTGAGAGTTAGGAATACCCCCTCAGCTGAGTTGTAATTCGATTCGAGTCGCCGTCTCTCCCGGTTAGTGAGAACTTGACGGGCTTATCTCCAAAGTAGATACACTAAAATAACATAATGGTTTGGAAATGATGATATGATGATGACAGCCTTATTATACCTGCTATGGTTAATATTGATTGCTCCTAATAAGTGAATGCTCTAGTATAGGTGCTAATCTAGTGGACAGGTAAATGATGATAAGCTTGATGCTAAGTTTAAATTGGTTACTATGCTCATAAGCTCTTTTATGCAAATGTGTCAAGCTAGCCCACCTCATAAGCCTTGCATGACCCTTGGTGTCATTTGTTTTAGTTTTCAACGGGTAAGTCTGGCTGAGTACATTCGAGTACTCAGGGTTTATCCCACCATGTTGCAGGTGAAGTTCTCGGCCTGTGAAGATGGTGGCTAACCGCCGGTGGCTCGATGATTCTATAGTTACTTCTCATCTATATGCTTTTGTCGGATGATGTCACTTATGCTAGCAATGTATTTGGAACATATATTAATGTAATCTTTTGAAAGCTATGTTGTTTTCACTAATCGGTTTTGAAACCCAAACTTGTACTATTATTTGTGAATTCATTTGTAATATTATTTTCCGCTGCAACCCTGCGTATGTGATGTGTATTTGTTTAATCACGCGATCTTGGTTGTGATGTTGATTTACCGAGGTCTTTCGAGACACTCGGCGGACTACCGGGTTTATATGAGTGAAGGTATGTGTATGTCAACGTGTTAGCGGAGACAACCATACTTGATCTTGTATAAATTGGGCGGTTCTATTACAATTAAGGTGGGCAAAAGCTTGGCCATGCCATGGCGGGTGCCCTGGTGAAGTTAATGTGGTGGCCGGGTGGCTCCAGTTGGCTGGCCACGGTGGCGGCGGTCCTCATACACCGGCGAGTGGCGGTGTGGTGGCTGTGGCGGCGCTACCCGAGATTAGTGGTGCGCACGAGCTCCCCGACGCTGCTACGACCATGGCGAGCAGGTCAAAGGGGCTCCGGGAGCTCTCAACGCCTCTGGCCACGGTGGTGGGGCAAAGCGGAGGTGGTGGCACTCCGATGAGGTGCGGTGCGGCAACGCAGGGCTCCAGTGGGCTTCATCCTGGGCTAAGGTGAGCGCGGTGTTCCTCTCGTCATGGCGGAGCAAGTCGGGGTGTCAACGTCGCCTTTACCGCGATGTAGAAGACGCGATGGTCTCGCCATGGTTGTGCTCTCGGCCATGGCGTGCAGGGTGGTCGTGCCGGTGTTCCCAAGCCGCTAGGGGTTGGTGAGGCCAGGCCTTGGGCTTGTGCGCGTGCGGTGCATGTGCAGCGTGTCCAGGAGTGGAAATGCTCCGCCTCTGCATCCCCTAGGTGCGGGAACACGGTGGCGTTCATGGCGAGTACGGCTAGGGTGGTGAGCGGCGAACGACGTGGCTCACTGTAGGGCTCGTGGCGGTAGGATGGTTGGGGTGAAGAAGACCTTGACGATCACCTACACGCTATCGCCGCCAAGCCCCACCTTGACGGCGACGTTGGGGTATGCGGCCTTGATGGCGGCCACGACGGCGGGGGACAGGTTGCCCATGTCCCAGAACGGGCTAAACACGCCGTTGGTTGGCACTGGCTTGGGATGCTGCTCCACGGGCATGTAGTCGATGGCGAAGGGGAGGATGAAGTGGAAGCTGACGAAGGCGTTGATGGGCACATCGGAGAACTACACGCCAGTGGACTATGCGCCGATGTACTCATGGAACAGGTGGCCGTTCGTCATGGCTGACATAATGGACCTCTATTTGTATCTCTTTCCAAGCAATTAAGGGGCCATTTGGTATAGCTCCTGGAGCTGTTTTTGTGCTCCGAGTGCCAAACGGGCCAGAAGGAACCAGCTCCGATGAAAGAGTCGTGTGATTTGCGCTCTCACACGCCAGGCGTGTCGGTTGGAGCCAAAAAATCGAGCTTCCACCGGCTCATTGTCAGGAGCATGTGGGCCCATGGCATATTTGGCCGTGGATGCCCCTTCCTTCTTCCATGCACGCGGGCATGGAGCAACGTTGGCCTAGGGAGGAGCAGAGGCGGTGCGACGTTGGCCTTCGCGGCCACGGGCGTGTGCTTCACACCGGCCGTGCGTGCTCGAGCTCCACTGGCCAGCCGCTCGTGGCACGGTCCTTGGTCTCTTGCGGCGTGGGGTGGCGGAGGTGTGGGGAAGAGGAATAGGAGGCCACGGGACATAGTAACGAGAGGATAAGGCAGAGAGTAGCGTGAGGATAAGGCAGGCGTCAGGCGGGTCTACGTGCATTGCCACATCGTGATAGAGTTGGCATGGCCTACATGGGGTGTCCCTTCGCTTCCTACCTGTCTCTCGATGTGTTTTTTCTGAGCCGTTCGATTGACTTAGGAATTCCGATGGTCTCTCCCGGCGGAGATCCCGCTTTGGGTTTTTCCAAGTCCCGCCTGGGGATGCGGAGAGCTGCCTACATGTGGTGGTGCTTTGGTTCTGGTGCCCATTGTGCGGTAGTGCCTGACGTGCGGTAGTGGTGGGCCATGCCTAGGCCACGTCCTGTCTGATCAGGAGCCATTCCGTCGGGCAGGGCGCGTCTCATCTGCATTAAATGGGAAAGAGAGAGGGGTTTTCGCTCTGTCGTTTCATCTCTCCCGATCAGCGCGCCTTCCCCAACTGCTGTGCCTTTTCCTTAAGTAGGAGAAGGGAGAGGGTTTTTGTCCTGTTCTTTCGCCTATTCCTCATCTGCCGCCTCCTTTCCTTTTCCTTCTTGCCGAGAGCGTTCTTGAGAGCTGCGGCGGTTTCTAGAAAAGAAAAGGGAGAGAGCGAGGGTGAAGAGAAAAACTCACAAATCCTTTTGCGATCTCGGAGCGAAATGTCGGACTGGAGGTCGTCCACCATGAGGGAATCGGTGTTGAAGGCCTTCGCCATGAAGGGCTTTCTACCGCTGAAGGAGGTGGCACACTGGAGGGCTCCGGGGAGGGAGGAGTACCCGCAACCTTGGCCTAACGAGGTGGTTTCCTTTCTTACCTTCCATGAGCGCAGGTTGAGATACCCCGCGCACTGGTTCCTGCATGGACTCCTCAACGAGTGGGGTCTAGAGTTGCAGCACCTTAATTCGACGGGGGTGCTGCACATCGTTGGGTTCATCACTGTCTGTGAGGCTTTCCTCAGGATGGAGCCACACGCGGACTTCTTCCGGTGGCTGTTCTCTAGGAGAGCTTTGATGGTGGGGAATCCGTCCGAGATCACGCCGGTGGGGGGTTTCACCCTGTAGAGGAAGCCGAGCGCGGGAGGCTTGTATCCCGCGTACATCCCTTGCGACTCCAATTGGGGGTGGCACGGGGAGTGGTTTTATATCAGGAATCTGGCGACGGCGCCGTTCCCGGTGTCACCGGTGGGAGGCCAGAGAAGCAGGACAGTTGGTCATGGGGTTGCCCCTATAAGGAGAAGAAGAAGGTGGAGATCATTGAGGAGGAGCTCTAGAAATTTGTGCGGCGCGGTCTTGATAGGGTGTGGGTGTTCCACACCCTCTACCGTCGCTGGGTCGCTCCATTAGCGGAGAGGGCACGACCGATGTGGAGGTACAGCGGTGCGTCGGACCCTGATCGTGTGTCGCCGGAGGAGCTACCGGACAACGAGGTCTAGAGTCGCCTTGGCAGGGTGCTGTAGCTGAAGCCCAAAGAGAAGGTCAAGGGAAAGCCCATACCTCTCAATGACTCAGTGGTGTCCAAACTGGTATGCTCCATTTTCTTTACTTCATGTTCTTTTTCCCCTTTGCTTTCCTACTTTTTTGATCCTGAGCCGCCTGTTGCATAGGGGCTTGAGGCTTACAGGTCCCGGCCACACCTTCTGAAGGGGCCGGAGGGCGCGGCCCGGTAGGCCGCCCAGAAGGAGGCGGCAGATGCCAGGAAGAAAAAGAAAGCTGAGACGGCTCAGCGAAAGTACAAGGAGAAGGAGGTTGCCCAGCGTGTGAAGGCCGGGGAGAGAAAGAGCGACGTTGAGTCTGAGCTCGAGTCGAAGGATCCCACAGATGTGGACGACATGATTTTCTCCGAGCAGCAGGAAAGTCCGGAGGTCGTTTTGACATCGGCGGAGCGTCGCGACCCCACGACGACATCCGCTAGTGATGATCAGGGGGCGGACAGGCGCGCGGTGGTTCTCGCGCCGTGGAAGCGTGCGGCGAGCGTGGGCGCCGTCGACGAATGGGAAGCGAAGTAGGCGCGGTCACTATGCCCCTCAGCAGCGTCGCTGGTCCCATCCCCGCCTGCCGCGGATGTGGTCAAGCTAGGCGGGCGGTCCGAGGAGCGGACTGGCACCCGTGTATCACCGGGACCGATGTCGGCATGTGACTTGCAGCCGGAGGATGCCCCGCCTACCGTGGATGCGGTCGAGGAAGCCGAGTGGTCTGAGGAGCACATTGGCACCCGCGCGTTGCACGACTCGTAGTCGGTGGATGCCCCGCCTGCCGCTCCGATCGGGGAGTCTCGAGCCGACAGTCACGGCGACCCGTAGGCTAGGCAGGGGCTGGTTGGGACGACTCCACCCCCGGCTGAAGTGAGGGGGCGCGGGACGTAGCCTAGGAGTGGTCCTTGCCCTACAGGCCTATTGACATCGGGTCTTGCTTTCAGAGTCATGCCGCTCACCTCCCGGTACATTTTTCTTTGTTTATTTTCGATCTTTTGCTGTTGAGTCTTTTTGGAGTGTGACTTACCTGCACTTTCTGTTAGTGGCCGGGTGATGACGGGGTTGAGCATCGCCCCAACTCCCGTGCAGGAGACTTGGAGGCCCACCCTGCAGCGTGTCGCGACGAGCGACGGGGGGAACAGGGTGGTGGTGGCGAGTCCTTCCCTTCCGGGGGTGGTGCCCCCCGGGTCGGTTGCTGGCATGGTGGCAGCGGCGGTGGCGGTGTTGATGGCGATCCCGGTGTTGACGGCGGAGGTCGCGTCGGAGGTAACTCTCACGGCCCCTCCTCCTCCAGCTGCGGCGGAAGAGGAGAGGGAGACCGAGCTCCCTATCTTGCTGGGTGGAGGGCTGCATGGCTCACCCTCGTGGTTGGAGTCGAAGGCATCGGAAAGACGTGGCCAGGACAAAGTCAGAACGCCCGACGGTGGCCCGTGCAACCGAGGTGGTGGATATCCCATCTGACGACGAGGCGGATGTCGTGGTGGAGCTACCGGTATCATCGCGGGAGCTGGCGGTGGTTCGATCGGAGGCGGGGCCCTCTGGCGGGCTGCCGGAGGGTGACCTAGAGTGGCCCTGATTTGAGGACCCGACAAAGGCGCGGTTCGTCCTTCGGGATTCCTAGGAGCGTTAGCTCTGGGACATCCTTAGGGAGCAAGGACAGGCCGCGGTGTCCGAACTTGCCAACCTATCCACCAAGCTTGGGGACGCCCAGGAGCAGGTTAAGTCCGCCCAGCAGTTAGTCAAAGTTGACCTATAGCTCGCCGTGGAGGTGAGTTTTTCGTATTTGTCCTTGACCTCTAAATCTTTTGATGGTTGCCTTAGCATGCTTGTTTTTCGTAGAGTCTAAAGGGGATGTCATCCCGCAAGTCCTGCTTCCTCCGAATGGAGCACGCCCAGATGGCTGAGCTCGAGCGTCAGCTAGAGTTTGCTCACCGTGAGTCCCAGGACCAGGCGGCCGAGGCGACCGCGGCGCGGGTGGAGGGGCAGCGTGCAGTAGAGCGGGCGACTGCCACCGAGCAAGGGGTAGAGGTAGCGAAGGCCCGCCAGGCGGAGACCGAGGCAGTCTTGCGAACATCCCTGGCGGACACCGAGGCAGCGCCCCAAGAGTCCTTGGTGGCCTTTGAGTTGGAGCGGAGCGCTTTGGTGTCAGAGCGGAGCGCCTTGGAGTTGGCACGGATGGCCCTGGAGTTGGAGCGAATGGCCCGGTCAGAGGCAGACCAGGAGGTGCTCGCGCTTCAGGGCTAGGTGATGGGGATGGAGGAGGTGAACGCCTGGCTGTGCGCGCAGGTGACTCAACAGGCGGAGGAATTCTCCGTCTTGGAGAACTTCCACGTCGGTATGTACCTTTTCTATTTTTCATCGTGTTGGTTTTTTCCTTCAGCCTATTTCTGAGCTTGTCGCCCTTCTTTCAGAGCTGGGTGGAGGGGTGAAGATGCTGGAGCAAGACCTGGAGACGATCAAGGCGACATTCAGCCGTAATGCAGAGGAGCTGGCCAAGTCTCGTGAAGAGCAACGTGCTCTCGAGGGGGAACTTGACCAGATCCGCAATGTTGCCTAGCTCGTCGTCTCAGAAGTCTTTGGGTCGGCGCCAAGCACTAGCGTGCCCGCCGTCTAGCTGGCGGAGGTCCTAGATGTGGTCCAGGACCTTATCACGAGCGGACTGTTCTACGGGGCGTCGAGGGTGCTGACTTTAGTGGCAACGCACCACCCAAACCTGGACTTCGCTACTATCTGCAGTGGGTATGCTGAAGGATTGAGCACGGAGGACATCCAATTGATCGGGGAGAGCTTGCTGCCACACGCAAGGTCGGTTGCAGAGCAAGTCTCTGCTCAGTGGGTGATGGACGCCCGTCATGAAGACATGGCTAGAAGCATGCGTGGGGAGGATGTTGCCCAACCTACAGATGGCACGGAGCCTAGGTCGGAGGTGGATGTCGCCCCGACTTCGACTGAGCCGAATGTCG